TCATCTGTGATGAAGATGCCACTTTGGAACTCAGGGTGAAGACTGTCAAGTACTTCAAGGTATGTGAGGTGTAGAAGTCAATACGATTTAGAAACAAAATATTACATTTAAATGTTGAACTTATCAAATTAAGAATTTGTATACTTTTGTAGATATGATGAAGCTGGGTGTTGAAATAGGAATTGTTGTGCTTAATGTTTATTTAAAACAGTGGTCCCCAAACTTTTTGTGCCTACGGGCACATTTGAGAGTTTATGAGATCGTGGCGGGCACCAATTAACAAAGCCAAATTTTCTTTCCTCTGGACAAATAAGATATGGACATGAAAAGGTTGGGGATCGCTGTGTTAGGTAGTATATTCACCTGTAGTTTGTGCTGTTGTTCATATTGCAGAATCTGTGGACTGTACATAGTGGATTGGTTGATGAACCATGGCCTGACTTTGGTGATAAATAACAGCTCTTATCAGAACGCTGTAAGAATCGCAGCTATGAAGAGCTTAATTTTTTCCAGTGGAGCTGCTTTTGTTGCAGAAGTTACTGGTGTAGAGGAGCAGATATCGGCGTCTGTTTGCCATAATTCGGTAAACTGGCAATATTATTAGCACATCAGGTGATTGTTTCTGTCTCTTACTCATTCGGTGTGGGGGACATTTTGTTTCATCTCTTTATTTAATAGTGTATGTATTGAAATTTAAAGAATTCCTTCTTTTTTTCCCCATTTTATAATGTAATAAATTTATTGTTTCTGTTAGTAATATAATATGCGTAGTTAATTTTACTTTATTTGGTGTATTTTTTTATATATATTTATGATTAAGAACTTGTAAGACAGTAATAATTACTGAAATTATCGCAAGGTATTTTGTCTTCTTTGTACAACAAGTACCCATAATAATGTCATTTCTGGCTTTGGTGGTGTAATTTTAAAGCCAGTATCAAGCTTGGAATTTGTTGTCATTTGACATTAAAGGCATCTTAAACTCTGAGGATAAGTAGCTGGAATTATGCTCATCATGTTTATCAAATTTCAGGGGTTTTTTTGTAAGGAATAAATATTTACGTAATAATCTCTTGATTCTTTGTTCATTTCTTGTCTAACCCAGGTTTTCTTGTAAGATACATATTCATATACGTAGGGCAGTCAAAAAGTTCCCGGAATTGTGGTATAGCACTGTAATTTTAGGACATATGGCAACGCTTACATAATCACCTTCAAAGTAGGACCCTTGC